CTCTGTGTCCATTGTTCCTCTGGTCCTCTGTGCCCATTGTTCCACTTGTCCTCTGCACCCATTGTGCCACTGGTCTGCAGTGCCCACTGTTCCTCTGGTCTTAATGCTCACTGTTTAATGATCCTCTGTTCCTACTTTTCCACTGTACTACTAATTCTCTATGCCCTCTGTTCCTCTGGTCCTCTGTGCCCACTGTTCACTGATCCTCTGTACCCACTCACTTTACCCTCCTGCTACACCTATCTGTTAATTATTAGTTATTTCAGAACCCGGTATATGAGAGACTACCCCTAGAACAGAACCGAGCACGAGTTTATCCGGGAACTTCAGAATATGGACGTAGTCATATCGCGAGTAACACAACGGTAACGTGACATCTAGGGACATGCTTCGACTCGCCCGACATATACTCATCATGCAATTTAGCCTGAAGATTACGTCTTGTCTGCTTATCTTATTTTTCATAATATTTATTGACAGAGGTAGGTGTAACAACAACATATTTTAGTTTTAGTTCGGCTCAAAAAGTGTCAGTTTCATTTTCGCGTCAGGGATGTAAAATATTACATTACAGCGCGGCGGGAATGCGACCTCTCGTAATATTCATATTCAAAGATGTCGATATAGATTGTGATCTTTTTATCACTTTACAAAGTCTGTTGGCATTTTTCCGTTGAAGCATATGTTTTTGTTCACTTTAGACAAAAAAAGCAATAATTTTGGTCTGAATATGCTGGTAGAAAATTGAATTCGCGTGAGCCACGAGAACCTCGTGGTTATCAATATGCAAAGCTCACGTCTGGAGAAAAGGCACGTGCTGGCATTTACTGTCATGTGATTGCAGGATTCTTAAAATAACTTTCAGAGTCACAATTGGGCATATGCAGTGAAACGCGTCGCCTGTGTTTGCAGCATTAAACACCTGCATCCCATCGGAGTGCCATCCTTTCACAGAGCGGATGACACTTTGATAGGCAGTGTACAATCTTTTTCATTACCACAACCCTGTGGTTTATGACTAGAAATTCAAAAGCGGAACAACAGGATCTTTTACAGTAGCTTACATCATGACAACTCTCCAAAGGGTTAGATTTTACGACTTATTAAAAAAGTGCATATACTTTTTACTGTAAGTGACTTAGGAATCACAATATTTCATTTATTTAACAGCTGCACCAACATGTGTACAGGCTGTCAACCTGAGTGTTGAAAATTGTAGTGGTAAGTGAAAATATATTTCTGTATATTGTTTATCTATTAACTGATTTGCATGCTTTTGGCTCTTAACTATTTAACTGCCATAAGTGACCAAGACAGAATTTCTCCTAATGATATCAATACAATATCAAGCAGACAAGTGATGAGAACTATGAGAAATATTGGTAAGAGGATTATTAGTTGTTCCAATACCAAATTCTCAAAACTAACATCACAAGAACTGTATGGCAGACAGTAAGGAGAATTACTAAAGATATCGTGGGAGTTAAAGGGTTAACCATCAGTCCTTCAATGCATTCACAGGGACACTATCAGCCAAAACAAGGCCAATAGAGAAGATCACTTTTGATTTAGAATTAATATAAACTCATGGTGATTACTGAAAGTGTCAAAAGCCTAAATTCCCTAAACCTGTCCTCAGCCTACAGCTAATAGTAAGTTAGTAACTCATTTTCTAACAACTTTAAGGTGGCTTCTTTGTTATGTTTGGGTATGTACTGAGGTTAAAATAACAATAAGTGCTTCAAAGTTTTTAGTTGCCTAGGGACTTGAGAAGTTTATAGCTGTATGACAAAAATGACATCTTATCTGCTCAAATTGTTTTTTCAACAGTTCCTATAGGTGGAACTCTGACTATGATGGTCAATATAACAGTTGACAATCAAAAAGCCAATTTCCTATACCTTGGTAAAGGCTTTCCTCTCAAGCGTTTGATCAAGCTCCCAGAAGGAGAAGATGGTTGTGGTAACTGTTATTATAAGGTGCCTCGGTGCAAGGAAAACTACTGTCTCAGACATGCAGGAGACAAAATGCTAAATATAACTTTAAAAGAGATTACCAAGTCCATGGAGGGCTTTTACAGGTTATATCCATACTGCTTAGGACCTAACCATAACTGTACCACACACCAACCTTTGAAGAGTTTCATGCTCAACACTAAAGGTGAATTTAACCTTTTAACTCCCAGAAGTGATTAACATGTAACCTTTCCCCATAACATGCATGAATTATCTAGAAAATTGGTTGTGAGAATACTTGAACTTATCAGGTACAAGATATTACCTTGATCAAACACCAAATTCTCATAACCAATTTACAAGGAAATGTGTAGCGGCTAGAGGAGAGAATATCCTGGTTGCCTCCCTCATTGTTTTAAATTATTAAAATTCCTTAGAATGTGCTTCTATCTCAGTCAGCCTTAAAGGTATATATTTAGAGAGCATCCTTGTCTGCATGAAGCTATATATTGAATACTTCAAAATTGTCTTTAAGGTTTGTGCAAGCTGAGTGACTGTGGCCCTGACAGTGGCCTGAGTTATATTGAGTGATATATGGCAATGAGAAAAAATTAGATCATAGGATGAGGCATTTATGTTGTAAAAAATACCTTCCATTACCTTGGGTAACTAAGACACATTTATAAGGTAGAATGAAGATGTATTGACTTCCAACTTGACTTTTTGTATCTGTTTTAACTGAAAAGGTGAACAGCTACATTGTAACTTCATGTGCAAAAAGTGATGACACAAACTTGCTTCTCCATCATTGCAGATAACCCAGAGCCAACAAAGGTGACAACATTTGAGACAGACTCAGGCCCCACAGAATGGATTTCTTCAGGTAAAAAGGTGTATGTGATGAGGAAATGCTTGTGCAGAATAATAATTCACTAAGTGTCTTAGCTGAAAAACCTTTTCTTGTGAGACAAATTAGCACACTGTTTATGATACAGTTTTTCTGGCTTTGATTTGTTCTAAATGTAAAATGACAACAAAATTCACATAATCATAATATAACTATGAATTCATCCCACTCAGTGCCTTGACTGATGGCAGGTTTCACTGCAGTTAGAATCTCATACAGCTTGTGTGACTGTTTCTTTCTTTTTTTACTTTATTTACTTTTTACATGCCACAAACTTCCCATTTTCATTATTTTAGGTAAACCAAAGGTAACATAGGCTATAACAGTTACAAACAATATGCATTCTAATGTAAATTAGGCATCATTCATGCAGCTGGGATGAAAAATTAAGGATTTAATTTAGGTACCTAATAGTTAACAAAAAGATGGAGTGTGAAGCTAAGATTCTTTCAGTCCATATGCAAATCAATTAACCCTTTAACTCCCAGGAGTGATTAACATATAATTTCTCCCTATAATATCCCTACATTCTCCAGCAAAGAGATCATGAGAATTCTCAAACTTATCAGGTACGGGTTGTCTTGATCTAACATCAAATTCTCATAACTATAAGTTACAAGGAAATGTTTAGCAGCCAGAGGGGAGAATTAACAATCAGATCTTGGGAGTTAAAGGGTTAACACATTTAGTTTCACTTAGTTTACTACTAAGCTACTATAAAACATGAGGCAGCTACACTATCATAAATAAACATACACTCAGGTACTGTTAGTAGATTTTTTTTCAAATAGACATGGAACATGTCAAATTTTGGGTTCTTGTTTTCAAAAGATATTTAAAATTCTTACGAATAATGCTTTTAACTTGGAAAATATACCTATCAATTTGTCAGTCACTCAGTCAGTCTGTTAATTAATGCATCCATGAAGTACGTAATGCTCATTAAGTTAGCTGGAAGTTCATCTGCAATGCATTTCTTTAATGTGAATCTCTCTAAATATATCCTAAAAAAAGAATTAACCAAGTTGAACACAATTATTTACAAAATATTGATTATTACTTTTTCTAAATCATTAATTGTGCTCCTCATTCTTTACTTTTTCTTTTTCTTCTTTTGTAATTACAGGTGGCACAAATGATGTGGTCATCACAGGGGCTGTTTCTGCTGCAATCATAGCGCCCATCTTGATGGTTTGGTTTATTTTTTAACCCCTCCCTTTCTCTCATTTTTGTCTGCTTTGAAGGCATACATACTGCAGTTTTGTATTAGTTTTGCTATAATATGAATATTCTCCTGTTAATAGGTACTTCATCTAGATTTATAATTAAAGTGTACGTGTTAGTAGTGAGCCAGACAAGATAGAGAAATCGTATTTGGAGGGATATTTTGTATTATGTTAATTAAATTCTTGTGTAATATGCCTGCTTTGAAGTCAAAGATATTGTAATTTTGTATCATGTTGAAACTGGATTTCAACACTTCTGTGAAGACAAATAATGTGAACATTCCCCTGTTAATAGGTACTTCATTTAGATTTATAAGTGAAGTGCTCATGTTTGTCTGCGCCAGACAAGTTTGAGAAATTATTTATGGAGGGATATTTTGTACTATGATAATTAAATTCTTGTGTAACATGGCAGTAGGATTGGAGGCGATTAACTTCATACCTACTACAGAATTTATTTGGACACAGCAAGCAATGCAGATTGTAATAATTTAATAGGGTGTTTTGGATTTGGATTTGAGAATATCATCACATGTACAGTGTTACAAATAGCAGAATGATGAATCATATTTCTACCTTATCTTTTAAAGCAGTACTCACATGATTTTGTTGCATTGACTTGTTCTATAGTGGCCCAAAGGATTGTATTTCCAGATTATTTATTTATTTTTTATTTACTTTTGTTGAATGTAGAATGGATGTACAGTTAGAACTCTGCTAACTTGGACTCCCAAGGGAACTGAAAAATAGTTTGAGTTGTCAGGGCTGGCTTATTCTATTTGGTGCAACACAACAAAACAAAACCAGGTGAGATCAATAGAACAAACCTCAAAGGATATTATACAGATATATTTTCAAAGTTGTAATTTCAGAAGAGTTACTGTTAAATGTGAAATCAACTATATTCACCCTGCAGTGACAAATTGTGACCTCTTTCATGTCACAAGAATACATTTAAACGTTACAAATTAGTATATCACCAAAGATTATGGCCCCCTCTTATTTCTTAAACTCTATTAAAACATATTTTGCAAAATAGTAATTTTAGGAGAGATACTATTTTGCAAAATGGACAATTAGTTGATTTTGCAAAATAGTTACTCAATCTTCTTAAATTACTAATGCAAAATGAATACTGCAAAATCCTTGGGAAAGTTATCTTTACCTTTTAAATTAGTTAATACAAAATATATCTGAGTTATTCCTTTAGTTTTGTTGCATCTCTCCTGGTTCAGTTTTGTTTCATGTTGTTGCATTTCACAAAATAGTACAAGCCATTGGGGCTGGGTGTTGAATC